ATATATATATATATATTATTTATATATATATATATTATTTTTTTTTATATATATATTTATTTATATATAATTTCATATATATATTACTTATATTTTTAACTCTTATGTACTCTTTATTTTTTACTTTTTATGATATATATTAAGAACATTAAAACTTTATGTTATACTTTAGCAAATTTAATTTTTTTTAATCCCAAATTAATAAGCATATTTATTTATTTGAGAAAAATTTTAGATTTTTTTTCATTAATTATAATTATAATTTTACGATTTACGATAATGTGTAATTATTTACAATATCTTAAAATTAAATTTTGTTTTATATACATCCCTAGAAACCTGTTTGTATTTATATTGGGATAAAATTAAAAACACAATATATATTAAAATTTTTTTTATAGTTTTTATAATTTTAATTTTATTTAGTCTTTTAGAGTAGGAATATGTTTCATAATATAACTTATTTTAATTATTTTAATAATTCCTTAAATTTAATTTACAGATGATACTTTTTTTTTTTATTTAATTATATTTTATATACTTTACCTCTCTTTTTTTCATTTTTCTTTTTAATTACTTAAGATGCGTTTAGTTATATAACTGCTAAATGAACTAAATTTCCCTGTTTTTCCAATACAGGGATAATTCCATTTTTATTTTATAGTGGTGAATTCTGGTTTGTTTTGAATTTTTAGTTTATGATATTGATTTAATTTGAATTTTTGATTTTAATAAAACATATAAAGCCAATTTTATAAGAAAAAAAAAAAAAAGGAATATTTATATAGATTATATTTAATTAATTTTAAATATAATTAAGAAAAATAAAATAATAAAACAAGATATATTTTATATTAAAATAAAATAAAGGCAAATTAATAATAATAATACTAGATTTTTTATCACAAATCATCTTTTTAAAAAATAATAAAGATATGTATTATAAAAGTTATATTTTTTTTGAAAAAATAAATAAAATTTTAATAAATGGATTTTTTTTATTAAATTAAATAGAGAAAAAAATTTAATTGAAAAAATGAAAAATAATTAAAAAAATATATAGGTTATTTACAAAAATATAAAAGTTTTAAATTAAAGAATTCATTTATAAAATTTAAAAAATCTTTTTGAATTAAAAAAATTAAATAAATAAGAAAAAATAAAATAAAAAATATTAGAAAAAGTCAAAATTATACACAAATAAAATTAAATCTAAATAAATTATTTAACTTTATAAAAAGAAATAGAATTATAAATAAAGATTCAATTAATGATTAAAACATAATTTCGAATATCATAAACCTTCATAAAAATAATCAATAAAATAATAACAAATTATAAAAATTAACAATTATTATATTTAAATATTCCATATTTAAACTACTTTTTTCCAAAAACATATACATATTATAAATAAAAAGACTCTTAATTTAAATTTAAGTAATTTAGGAGGTAATATTCTATAAAATAAGAGACATTTTTTGTTATTTTTATAATATATTTTTTTCAAAGCAATTATTATTTCATATGTAAATGTTGTCTTCTTGATAAATTTAGTAAATAAAGAAATTTTATTGTGAAAATATTTATGCATGCTTAAAAAAATATAAAAAAAAGAAGATTTTAATATATAATAAAAATAAAAAATTAATTGTATATAAATATTTATTATTATATATTATAAATATTTTTTAATATTTTTTAACTTATATAATTATATTATAAATAAAAATTTATATCATTATTTAATATATATAAAGTATTTATAATATTTAGATATATTTAATTATAAATATAAAAAAAATATTATTTTTTTAATATATTATATTATTTTTTATTTTATTTTATAATCCTTTTTATTAATAAAAAATTATTTATAATTTTTTATTTTATTTTTAAAATAAAATAATTAATGTATGTATTTATGTATATTTTGCCGTCTCACCTTGTCTTACCAGTTTAACTTATTTATTATTTTACTAAATTGTCTTACAAGACTTTGAGAGTAATCCATAATGAAAAATTTATTTATTTTTTTTAAAAAAAGCTCACTTATAATTAAACATTAAATTTGATTTTAATAAATATAACAATTTTTTATATTTCATAAAAATAAAACTTAAAAATTTAAAATAAACAAAATTAAACCTTAATTAAAAACACACATAATTTATATATTTTTAAATTAAATATTAAAATAATATTTTTATAAAAATTTATTTTAAAATCAAATTATCGCCTAAAAATTTGAAAAAAGGACATTATTCCACCCCTCACTAAAATTTTTTAAAAAGCACTCAGTATATACGGTATAAATATATAATTTTTATATAATATATTTACATATATAATTTATAATGTAAAATAATATAATATTATTTGTATAGATATATAAATTACAAAATATATTTTGTTATTATTTATTTTTATATAAAATTCTACTTAAATATTATAAATAATAATAAAATCTAATAGAACTGATGAAAAAAATTAAAAAAAAGTCTGCTTTTACAATGCCATACTAATATAAGGCATAATTCCATCTCAAAATATTCCTAATTCAATAGCCATTCCTTATCTTATATTTTCTTAGAGGAAAAAATACACATAATAACTAAACTAATAATACCGAAAAGACAATAAATATTATCAAAAGCTTTCAGTTTTCATAATAAAGATTGTCTCGAGTAAAATAATATATATATAACTTTGAATTTAAAAATTATTATTTATTCAAATTATATTTGTAAATGTTTTAAAAATTTCTGTATAAAAACTAATTATTATATTTATTTCTGTATTAAATAATTTATAGTGATACTAATTAAAAGCCTAAAAAAATAAAAACTTTAAAATTGTAATTACTTTATATTTTAATCACCATTCATTTTTTAATATAGAAAACAGTATTATAAATACAAAAACTTTCTGTGAGTTGCTAAAGTAGCATACTTAAGAGTTATATAAGGCACTTTTTTGTTATTATTTTTTGTAGAAATAATATAAGATTGGGAATATTCCTGATTTTTAACTTAAGTTATTATTATTAGTTTTACAAATATAAATTAGTTTTTAAAAAAATATATTTCATTGTAATTTATTTTTTGAATATAATAATTATTAAATAATTGTGTATTTATTTATAAAAATTAATTAGAAAATATATATATATTTAATAAAATCACAAAAATAAAGATAATATATAATTTTATAATCAATTTAAAATTAAAAAATTAAATTAAAAAGACAAAATTTTTAATTAATATATAATTATAAATTATATATATATATATTAGTATTCTATATATAATAATATATTAATATGATTTATATATAAATAATTATATATAAATATATATTTTTTTTATTATTATTTTTTATTTTATTTATAATATTTATTTTATTTTATAATAATTTTTTTAAATAAAATATAAAAGTTAGATTATATTTATAAATACTTTAAAAAATATTAAAATATGTTTATTATAATTATTATAATAGAAATTTAATAACATATTACTATTATAATATTTATAAAATTTATATTGATTTAATTTTATATTACAATATCAGAATAAAATATAATTAAAATATATTATATTTTATAATACTTTTAATTTTTTTGAAACAAAATTATATTTAATATCTTTTTTTAAATAAATAAAAAATTTATTATTAAATTTTTTATTTTTTTTGGATATAAATAATATTTAATATTTATAAATCATATTATTAATATTTTTTTTTTATAAAACTTTAAAAATTATTTTAAAAATTCTTAGTTATATTTTCTAAAAAAATAAAAATATATAAAGATATATAGTTATAATGATAAAGGTAGAAAATTATATATGTATTTATCGTTTTAATAAAGAAAATTACTATTAGATTCACATTTAGTTGTTACTACTTGTTATATATTCATATCGAAATTAGGTTTCTAGTCAAGTATTTTTTTATATATAAAATATCTAAATATTTGAAGAACAATATGCATTTTAAAAAATAATAAATCAATAATTTATAAAAATAATAAATAAATTATATTTATATTAATAATCTTAATAAAATTATATTTTTAATAAGATATAAAGCATATTTATATTTTTTTTTTATATAAAATAATAATATATTTTTTGATAATATTTTTTAAAATACAGTGTGTAATGAATAAAAAAACTATTTAAACATAATTAAAATATACAAATAACAATATAAAAAAAGCAAGTAAATATTTATTTATAGATAAATAAAAATATTAAATTTTATAGTATGTAAATATAAATTAGATTTATATTTTTAATGGGCAAATTAAAATATAAGGGCGTAAATTATATATATAAATAATGCAATAATTTATTTATTTTTTTAAAAAAAGGATGTATTAATTTATTTAAAAATAAAAATCTATACAATTAAAATAGTTAGTAAATAAAATATAAATATTACAAAATATAATATTAATGAAAAAAAAGTGTGTAAATAAATAATGAAAATAAAATTTAATAAATCTATTATAGTTAGTATTTTTATAAAATAGATATTTTAATAAAAATAATTAAAAAAAAGGCTGTAAATAATTTATAATTATTGAAATAACAAATATTAATAAATAAAAATATATAGTGTGTAAAAAATGAATCTAAATTTAATATTATATATAAAAAATATATACTTTATTTAATTAAAAGGTAACAAAAATAAAATAAAATAATAATTGAATAAATTTTTATAGAGAGTATTAAAAAATAAATATAAACATGGTATTATTTAAATAATAATAATAATAATATAGCTTTAAAATGTAAAATTAATTTTAATATATATTAAATACTAAAATATAATAAAAAGTGTGTAAAAATATAAAGAAAGTCTAAATATATAAAAAATAGGACGTATAATAATAATCATCTATTTAATTAAAAATTATTTTTAAAATAATTAAAAAAGCAAGTAATTTTTAATTGATAAAATATATTTAATAAACAAAAAATACTAATATTTTTTATGATAAATAGTATGTAATATGAAATAAAATAATATTTATTTATTAATGTAAATTATTTTTCTATAAAAATAGTGGGTAATATATTATTAATACCATTTTTAGTATATAAATTTTTAATAAATATAGGATGTAATATTAAATATAATTGCATTTTAGTTTAGTTTAAAAAAAAAAAAAAAAAACTATTCTAAAAATAGGGAGTGATTTTAAATAATATAGCATTTTAATTTATAGCTATAAATTTTATTATAAAAAAATAGGGGGTATTATTAAATAAAATTCTATTTTTGGTTATAAGTTATAAATATTTAAATATAAATAGAAGGTAATTTCAATTATTTAGTTAAAATTTATAATTTTTAAAAAAATAGTTAGTAATATTAAATAAAATAGTATTATTAGTATTAATTTAATAATTTTTATTAAAATAGTATGTAATATTAAATAAAATAGCTTTTATAGTTTAAATTATCCAATTATTATTAAAAACACAGTTTGTAGCATTAAATAAATAATTATTTTAGTTTAATTGATCATACTTTAATAAAAAAAAGGGAGTAATATTTATTATAATCATCATTATTAGTTTAAATTTTAATAAATATAGGAAGTAAAATTAAATAAAATTATATTTTAGTTTAAATTTATTAATTTTTTATAAAATAGTATGTAATATTAAATATAAATGCCTTATTAGATTAAATTTATATATTATTTATTTAAAAGACAGTAATATTAAATAAAAAAATGTTTTTTATAAAATAATTATCTTTTTTTAATAAAATTAGTATGTAATATTAAATAAAATATATATTTAATTAAAATGTATCAATTTATTATCAAAAATAGGCAGTAATTAATAATAATAAAGCATATTATTTTATATTTATTGATTTAATATTAAAAATAGGCTGTAATATTAAATAAAAAAGTATATTTAGTTTATTAATTATTATTAAAAATAGGATGTAAAATAAAATAGAATACTTTGTTTAAATTTATAATTTTTTTAAAACTAGTTTGTAATTTTAAATAAAAAATAAATTTACAATTTTAATAAAAATAGTTTGTAATATTAAAAAAATAGCATTTATAATAAATATATTCAATTTTATTTAAAAAATAGTATGTAATATTAAATTAAATGCTTTTCAAGACTAAATTAATATTTTTTTTAAATAAAAATAGAATGTGATTCTATTAAAATTGTATTTTAATTTAAATTTATTTAAAAAAAATAGAAAGTAAGTTTAAATGAATTACAATTTTGTAATTTCAATTGTAAACTATATTTTTTTAAAAAAGGGGGGTAATATTATATATATTTAATATTCAGATATATATTATAAAAAATAGAAAGTTATATTAAATTATATAATAATGTATTTAATATAAATTTAGTATTTTTTTATTTAAAATATAATTAAATATATTTACTTTGTTAATTTTTAATTTTTATTTCTTTTTTATAAAAAAAATAGGCAAAAGTAATATTAATTAATATATATGTATTTGATTAAATTTATTATAAATTTTAGTGCGTAAATATAAATATTTAAATGCAATTATTTTATTCTTATTTAGTCAGTAAATAATTTATAATATATTATTATATTATAACATAAATAGATTAAAAGTTAATAATAAATCTATATTTATTTATTTTAATATTGTATTATTTTGTTCATAATAAAGTAATTTTGGTTTTTTACAATTAATTAATTTATTTATAGGAAGTTATGTAAAAAATTACTTTATTGAATATATATTTAGCAAAATTTAATAAAAACCTTATTATTATTATTTTTGAGAAGTTTTTTTTTTTACAATTGACATATTAATTTAATTAGAAAGTATTTAAATTTATAAATAAATATTTTAATTTTTTTTAATTCCTATTTAAGCACTAAGTAATTATATATAGATAATATGATTTTAATTTTTATAAATAGATTGTAATTTTATGTATTTTCTTATTTTAATATAGAAATAGATAGTAATATTTTATTTTTTTAAATATTATTTTTTTATTTTTTTTATAGTGCGTACTTTAATTTATTTTTATTTATTAATATCATTTTTATTTAGGATGTAAACATTTTATATTTTATTTTAAATAAAATTTTAATATAGGAAGTAATATTATTATTTTAATATTTCTTATTAATTGATTGAAAATGTATAGTGTGTATAAAATGATTATTTGTTTATTATATCTATTTATAACAAATATATAATTAGTTAGTAAATTTTACAATACTATAAAATAAATATAATTTTATTTACACATATAACTATATTTATTAAAAATAATATTAGACTAAAGTAAAATTATAATAATTTTATTATTAAAAAATAAAAAAAATCATTAAATTTTTATTTTAAAATATAATTTTTATAGACACCAGTAAATAACTTTAATATTCCTATAAAACTTTTTATATTTAATATAATTTACTTTAAACTTTTCTTTTGATTAAAATATTTTTCTAATATAATTTTGATTAGACAACTGTTATTTTTTTTTAATTATTTATATATTTTAATGAATTAATTATAGTCAGTACCCCAAAAATATAAACTATTTAACTTTTGTTTTTATTGATAATAATAAAAAGAAAATTGTAAAACATTTATATTAATTTTTTTTATTTTATTTTTTTTTTCAAAAAGCCTGTAAAAAAAATATTTTCTCTAAATATAAAAATTTAATTTGTTAAATAGTGTGTAAAAAAATTAATATTTATATAAATATTATATATATATATATATATTATTTTTTAATTTAGATTGTAAATATAATTTGCTTTATTATTTTGTAATAATAAAATAGGATGTATAATTAAAAAATTTTTCTATGTTTTTGTTTACCAATTTTAATAGGAAGTTTAATTTTATTTTTTAAAATTTATAAAATAATTTTTTAAACAATCTAGTGTGTATTTATTTTTTCTTTAAATTAAAAAAAAAAAATTAAAAATAAGCTTGTAATATTTTTTTTAATTAATTAATAATTTATTATTTTTATAAAAGTAAGTAAATAATTATGATAGTGTTGGACTTTAATTATTTTATTTTTAACAAAAGTGTGTAATAAAGAATTTGTTAAATTATAATTAATTTTTAAACTTTTAGTTGGTAAATTTATATAAAAAATTAATTTTATATATTATTTATATGCTATTTATTATAATACAAATTTATTTTTATTAATATAGAAAGTAAATACTTTTAAACACTTTAATAGTGTATTTTATGTAATTATAGTTAGTAATATTATTATTAATGTTAAATCGCTTTTTCATTTTACTTTTAAAAATAGCTGGTAAAAAAACCCTCTTAAAATTTACATTTAATATACTTATCATTTATAGGCAGTATGAAAAATAATAATATTTATATAAATTATTTAATTTAGTCTGTAAATTTATATCTTTAATATTTTTAAAATCTTATAATCAATATTAAGGGAGTAATATTATTATTTAATTTTTAATTTTACTATTTATTTTACAAAGACAGTAAAATATTTTAATGTTTTTTTTTTAAATATTTTTTTTTTTTAAATAAGTATGTAAATATATAATTATTAAATTAATCACAATTTTTAATCTTAATATAGTAAGTAAGAATATTTTTTATCTAATTAATATTTTATGTGATATATATTTAATTCTAAGAATGTATTGAGAAATATATAAATTAATTTTATGAAATTATCTTAATGTTAGGATGTAATTTTTCGAATATTTTATTTTTATTTTGCATTTTTATATTATTATATAATAAAACTAATAGAAAGTAATTATATCAATCAGAAAAACATAGTTTAATATATTTATTTTAAAAGGGAGTTAAAATTATTAAAAATATTAAATTTATTTTAATTTTCTTAATATAAATTGATTAGAAATGGGTAATAATTTTCAGATTTTATATTAATTGCTTAAATAAATATTTTTTGATTTAAAAAAGATTGTATGATATACTACAACTTTATATATATATATTATTACTTTTATAGTGCGTTTAAATATATATTTATAATATTTTGTTAATTCTATTTTTATTTGAATTACAGAATGTAATATTTTAACTGTTCTATTAATTAATTATTATGAAAAATAGAGCGTATTTTTTTATTTAATATTATTAATTAATTAAAACTAGAAAGTGATATTTTCTTTGAAATTAAGTATTTCATTTTTTAAAAAAGGATGTAATTTTTTTGATTATAAAAGCTTTTTGGTAAATATTATTACAAAACAGGACGTATTATTAAACTTTAGTTTTTTTTTTTTTTTAATATAAATTTAGAAAGATGTAAATTATTTAAAAAAAAATTTTATTAGTTTAAATTTTTGAATTTTAGGAAATAGATGTTAAGAAAAAATATTATTTATCAAAATAAAATTAAAAACTAAAATAGCCTGTAATAATTTTAATATTTTTTTTAATAATTTTTTTATTTAAAATAGTTTGTAAAAATATTAATTATATTTTATTTTTATAATAAAATCTAAAAAGTATGTAAAAAAATTAATAAATTTAATAATTTTAAATAATTGTATGCCATTAATAATAAAGTACGAAGTAAGCAGTTCCTTTCAATACATTAACAAAAATTAAAATAGGATGTAATTGTGAAATTTTAATAAAATAAATTTATTAAAAAAATTAGATAGTAAATCTTTTAATAAATTATTATATATTAATAAATAATTTAATATTAGAATTGCGTAAATTCATAATTAATTTAATGAATTAAAATTGATAGTAATATTTATTTTTTTAGAATTTTTTTTTTTTTTTAATTAGAATATTTTTTTTATGAATTATTTAATTATACAATAATAATCTAAAAACAACCAGATTAAATTAACTAAATATGTATTATAATAAT